TAAACACAAAAGCAGCGTTATTATATCTTTTGAGTTTATACACAAAACTACAAAAAAACACGAAATTAAATAAAACGTATGCATTTCCTTAAATGAACTTTTATTTAAATAAAATCTATATATACATTTTGAAAAGATTCATCGTCGACACACACGTCGATGTTTCTGTTATCGCGACAACACTACGATTTGTTTCTTATAATAAACTATCTTCAACGCACAGCAGCATTTCCGCAAAATCAATAAAAACTCAACTCAAGTGTGATATATAAAAAAAATGGAAAACAACAAGAAAAAAACTTGAAGCCAAGTTGTGATTAAAAAATGTAAAAAAATTATAATATAAAGCGCAAAAGTAATTGAAAAATCGGAGCCATCAGGTTAGCCAATTACAAAGCGGATCTACAAATGATCCATCATACCATCGCAGAATTTAAACCAGCAACCGAAACTACTAGAGAGCTCACAAGTCGCAGCTGAACTGAATTGAACTAATCTGAACTGAACTGCACGGAAGGAAACTAAACTGAAGTGAATCCACCGTCCACCAATCTCAACTGCTGAATGGTAAACTTTTGCCATAGTAATGGTATTCTAAATGTATAAAACCATCACCTTCCATACCATTATTGGATGTTGTGTAACTCTCGTCATTAACTACTACTATCGTGTTCTCTATATATCCATGGACATACTATCTATAGCACAGACTGAAAACTCGTAACTGCAAAAACATGCCACATACTACTACCGTATTTTTATTACAACCTACTATTATTATAATCATAAGCATCAAGTGAAGAAAATTACCAAAAAATGTAGTTGATAACATTTCATCAAGCAACCGTTGCCATCGGTATTTACAATAACATAAGTACATATGTACATAATGCAGTAACGAATCAGTCATTATTCGTTAATTTGCTTGACGGCAATCAATCGTGCAAAAAATTTCAGTCTATCAATCAATCAATTTATCAATCTCTTAACAATGCACTTGACTCAACAACAATTGCTGCTGCATCTGCTGCTGTTGCCGCCGCTTCATAACTTGATATGCAACTTCAGGCGTCAATCAATCAATCAATAAGTCTGCATATATGTCAATCACTTTATGTAACTGTCAATATGTGTGTGTGTGTGTTTTTAGGTGCATAGAAACATATGCATACATATAGTTAGATCTTTCCCTTTCTCTCTCTCGCTTTCTCTCTCTCTCTCTCTCTCTCTAAATATGTATATATAAATTTCCCTTGTGTTGTTGTTGTTGATGTTTTTGATGTTGTCGTTTTTGTTGATGTGGGCGTTGTCTACTGGATTGATTATTAACCAACGCGCAGATATTGATAAGAACACTATAACTTAATAAGTTCCAAGCCCACTGTCGAACGCCATATACCGCCAAGCACCACCAACATTACAATGAACATCCTGATTGCCATCCAAGAACACCACATGTCAACAACGTCATTGAAATAACTAATCGTCTACTACTTCTACAATGTTCATCAAGCGCGCTTCTTTCGAATCCAATAAATGCAAACCAAGCCAAACCAATTTAAATCAAATCAAATCAACTCAAATCGAATCAGCTCAACTCAAACACTGCAACTTGTACTAAACCAAATGGCGCTACCACTCTATAAGCCTATCTATGATCTATACTTATAACTACCACACACCGCCACCCTCATCATTTTATAGTGAAGTCTCCTAATAAAGGCAGAGCAACAGCACAAGGCCTAGTTTAAAGAGCAATTCATAATAAAAACAAGTATTCAAAGCTGCATTTACACGACCGCAAACCGAGAGAAGGATTAAGCCAAATTCAAAATGAATTGAAACAAATTTTAATCAGTTTTTTAATTAACAGAAATTAAATTGTTGAATAACTGACGTTTAGCTGACCATCCCGCAGTTTGTGTTGCTTACTTGGTTCACTCAATCTCAATCTCACTCTCTCTCTCACTCCTCGACTCGTGTAAAAGCTGCTTAATTCAAAATGTTTTTGTGTGTTACATGTAACGAAATTGTAAGCGAAATTGCAAACCTTGAAAAACTGAGCTTAATTGAAAACAATTTCTATTTCTTTTTCTTTTCGTTTATTGTGCAAGTTCTTGAATTGGAAACGCGTAGAATAGAGCAAAGCTGTGCAGCAGTAGTTAAACTTATCAAAATAAAAAACACTTTAAAATTAACAGCAATAAAATAGAAATATTATTGAAAAACTAAAAAGATATAATAAGTAAATTATTTCCGTCGCATACAAACAAATATAAGACTGAATAACATTTCAACAGTATAAAAACAGCAGCAATAGTTATTAACGTTTGCACGCTATGGAAAGTATTATGAAAGTGTTCATGGAATCGGCAGCCCAGCAGATGGACACAGATTTATATGCAACACCACAACACCAGGAGCATCAGCAGCAGCAGCAACAGCAGCAGCAGCAGCAAGAGCAACAGTTACATCAACAACTGCAACACTATGCATACCAATATCAGCATTCAACGCCCACACACATGACGCAATTTAATTATAACAATCAGCATCAGCCACGACATTCCAAGACAATAAAAGCAGCTACATCGCCCTCATCTTTACGTTCGTTGACCAGCGGCAGCAGCAGCAGCAGCAGCAGCTACAGCAACGGCAGCGCAAGCAGTATCAATCACAATGCTGCATACTCATTAGCCGTTCTTAGCTATAAGCAACAGCAGCAGCAGCTTCAGCAGCTGCAACAGAAATCGGCACAAAACTACCCTAATCTAAGCAATACTCAACATCATTATAATCAGATGGAACCGCAGCAGCAGCAGCAGCCCCACAATCACAATGGCTCGTCCAATGTAACGCCAGATCTGAGCACGTCACCAATTTCGACGGGAAGCGCAGTACAACAGCAGCATATACATCTACAGCAGATAAGTAGCCATGAGACAACGGGAAATACGGCAGCAGCAGCAACAGCAATTGCAACGACTAGTGCAACTGCAACGGCAGCAGCATCACCCAGCTATAAGACTGCCTCCTGTTGGTGCTACGGTGAGTTTGATCAAAACACGCAATCAAATTCAGAAACTACAAAAAAAGATGCGCACAACTTCTTCTAAGTATTACACAAACCATCTACAATTTCACAAAGAAACACTTGCTCTCGCCTTCGCCCTCGCCCTCGCCTTCTTTCGCTCTGTATCTCTATATATCTCTCTATCTCTGCGTTCGTTACCAACAGTGAGAATAAGAACAAGAACAACAACTACAATTATCAATCAATCAATCACCATGTCACCATCTCAACATCTGAACATCTGTAGCTGCCGTCGAGTCATAAAAAATGCCAATTAAATGCTGCCACCAACAGAAAAATTACAGCAAAATGCATAAAACACAAAAAAAGCTAAAGAAAAAGTAAAAAGAGTTTATTTAACATAAGATAAATAATGAAATAATATTCACACATTATCCAGCATACAATAAACATAACGGCAACACACATATACTCACACACCCCGATTTCATCAGTTATTTGTGCGCTCATTTATTTCGAATAGTAGTATTAACATAGTTTTGGGTATCGATTTTAGTCCATTTCACATTAAGTATACGTTGCGTGGTACGCGACAGCCACTTGCTGCGGCATTGCTTCAACAATTTGCGTGCAACAGATTGGCTGTTGGCGAGGGTTGTTGTCGTTAGCCTAGTTGCTGTTGCGACTCAGCACTATGCATAGCAAATTAGCGTGCGGTGCCACGCCCCTTTTCGCAGTACTGCCCAATTGTGTATGTTGCCAGAGTTATTTATAACAAAGACATAATTTAAACTGCTGCTCAACACTAACAGGCATAAAAACAAAAGCATTGCAAGCTGCTCGTTACGTTCCGGTCCTCTTTTTGGCTCAGAAAAACAATGTGGCAACAGACTTCACTTTTGTTTGACTGCACTTTTGGGCCATATCTCACTTTTTGGTCATCACTTTAAGCTGTTGTTCGGCTTGGCGCACAGCGCTAGTTGTTTTCCTTATTCTTTTTTTTTTCGCTGTCTCTCAGTTTTTTTAGACTCGCAGATGAGAATGCCACAGTCCGCCGATAGGCATCGGGCAACCTGCTTGGGTCAGGCGTTCTAGGTGGGTTGAACACATGCCGCAGTGGCTCAATTCTTGGCAGGGCTGCCACATTTCCTTAGTCGTGCATATTTGTGGCGTGACATGCCGAGCCAAGAGCTACGAGTGGCACTAGTTCTACTTTCTGGCTTGGTGACAGATGTGCGCCTCATTTCACCGCTTGTATCTAATTAGAGAAATAGTTTTTGAAGGACACTTTGTTTTAAGTGGACGACACAGATTTCAATTCTACTGTGCGATGGAACGTGGGGATATAATCAAGCGGATCGCCTAAAATTAAACCTAGCGAGACAAGCAGACGTCGAGTCGCTCATCTCAGAGTGTCAGACGGGTTTGTTGGCTGGGTAGGCGAGCAGTCAGTCAGGTGCACCGAGTGTGCTGTTTGTTTTTTTATTGTTTTGCTTTGACCGATTGTTTTGGGTAATAGAGCATCTCCGCTTGACACATTTTATTAATTGAAATTTGTTTGTTGACTTGCTTGTTGTTGCAATCTGAGGTACAGACTGCTTTGACTATAATGAATATAAAGCAAAGCAAATCGGACTGCATGCTCGTGCTATCACATGCTTGGCTATCTATCGATCTATCATATTCACAATAACACAATTAATTTCTGTTTTGTATAATTCTTTGGGTTTTGAAAATGATTTCATCTTGCTTAGGATGTGGCTTCGGTCATGTATTGACAGTCCTATGCTTTCATTAAACACGTGACACACACAAACACACACCTACACACCCACACACATAACAGACACAGAGAGAGACGTCACTTAATTGCATATCTCTGCCTTTGTCTAATAAATGTAATTAGTGTAATTTTCATTTGTATCATTTATCTAATGTAATATTTTTTATCTCTATATCGTTTTAGGTGAGTCAGTTTGTTCTGGAATTGAGGTTGAAATTGAAAATAATAACAATAATCATAATCATCATGGTAAGCTTTGTCATACTTTCATTAAATACCATTAAAATTCATCTATGTAATGCAAAAAGCAGCGAAAAATGTGTTAATTTCCAAACTGTTTCGTTTTGTGCGTATCTTTAATCTCTCTGTCTGTCTCTCTCTCTCTCTCTCTCTCTCTCTCTCTCTCTGTCTCTGTCTCTATTATTCCTACTTACTGCTTTTGTCGAACCTGAGTCGCTGTTAAGCTGAACCTCTTGTCAACTGTCTAACGAAAGCTGATATCAATTCGTCGGTCTGGCCCAACGAATCTGGCAAACGGGCAGCCCATTAACCCCTGACCAGCTGACGAATATAGACTGTCTGACTGTACGACCGGTTGACTAACATTTGAGCTTTGGGCTATTGCTTGTGGGGCAGTTTTTTTGGTTTGGGCTTTTCATGTGTCTCGCCTCGCCAGCATTTTCGTGTGTTGCATCCTCATTAAGCGTATTCCACTCTCATGGCTTGCCAGCGAAAACCACTAAAGCATTTACATGACAACATGAACTTTCACAGTAGAAAACAGCTGCAACACGAACAGTTATCAATATGCATGTCTCCACTACGATCCGCCCGACACCCTTAACCGACACCCACCACCCGCCACTCCAAAACCATAAACGCCCCATCATAAAAAAAAACTAAACTAAACCAAACGGAAATTCAAACATAAACTTCAACTTCAACTAATTCGATTCAAAAAAATTGTCTCGTTACGCGCGTCCTGCCGAACGGTCGAATACCAAATGCTGTTATTATTTTTAATTTATAACCTGCTGAGCAGCTACCAGAAATGTGCTATACCAAATGGAGTTAAACCCACTCCAGTTAAAGTTACAAAGAGCTGCAATGTGCCGAATCCCTTTAAAAATGTGAACACTAATCAATGGTTGCACTGTGAACTATTTTTTGACTTGCAGGCGATACCACATTTCACATGAAGATACTTGTGCCTGCGGTGGCCTCCGGGGCCATTATTGGCAAGGGGGGCGAGACGATCGCCTCGCTGCAAAAGGACACGGGTGCTAGAGTCAAGATGTCCAAGTCTCACGATTTTTATCCAGGTGAGTGGCTTATGCTATTTCAATTGAGTGCGGTACTCAAGATTTTTCTCTGTCCCCATCCTTATTCCGCAGGTACTACTGAGCGCGTCTGCCTAATCACCGGCTCTGTGGAAGGTATCATGACTGTGGTGGACTTTATAATGGACAAAATAAGGGAAAAGCCCGACTTGACTACAAAAATCATTGATGCCGAGTCTAAGCAGGCACAGGAACGTGATAAGCAAGTTAAAATACTGGTGCCCAATTCGACCGCCGGCATGATCATTGGCAAGGGCGGCGCCTTCATCAAGCAGATAAAGGAGGAAAGTGGTTCCTATGTCCAGATTTCGCAAAAGCCAAAGGATGTATCACTGCAGGAGCGTTGTATTACCATTATCGGCGACAAGGAAAATAACAAGAATGCCTGCAAAATGATACTCTCCAAAATAGTGGAGGATCCGCAGTCGGGCACATGTCTGAACGTGTCCTACGCCGACGTTAACGGCCCCGTTGCCAACTTCAATCCAACCGGTTCGCCCTATGCCACCAATCAGAATGCCATCAACTCAAGCACCGCCTCACTGAATTCTACGATAGGCACGGCCATAGGCGGTGCGGGTACTGCAACCAGTCTGTTGGTCAATGGCGCAGGCATTAACTTATCCCTTAACCTGGGCGCACCCAACCCAGCGCCCAATCTGGCAGTTGCCACACAGTTGCTTGAGCACATTAAGGTACGTCATTTTGGATATAATTAATCTACATTTTGGGCGATACTCATCTGTTTGCATACAGGTTGCCATGCGAGGTGCTGGTTACGCGGAGACCGCCACCACTGACGTCTGCGCGGCCCTCGGTGTGCTAGCGAAGTACGGCGTGCTGGGCATGGGTCTGGGCGTACCACACGCCAATGGCGCGCATCCCACACTGGGCAACTATCTGGGCGTGACGACGCTAGATCAGCAAACTGCGGCCGCGGCTACGGCGGCCACAGCGAGCAATGTTTTTGGCGCTGTCGGTCAGGTTAACTTTGAGTATGCCGCCGCGGCGGCCGCTGCTGCGGCGGCCAGTCGGCCAACGCAGTCTCAGCTGGAGGTGCAATTTGATTCATTCCGCCATATGGGCTCGGCCACTGCGCCTGCGGCCACGCCCGTTTCGCTAAACAACAACAGCTTTGGACTGACCGCTGCCACCGGTACGGTGACCAGCGCGCAACTGGGAGCTGCCGCCTCGATAGGCGGTCTTAGCAAGAGCCCCACTCCTGGTGATTTGGGTGCCAAGGATACCAAGAACGTTGAGGTGCCCGAAGTGATTATTGGCGCTGTTTTAGGTGGGCAACCTTTCTATTATTCCTACTAAAACCGACAATAATACCAACAACAACAACAACAAGCAGACACTTCAAACCGTTTTTCAGCACACCCCGATCCCAATTCCCGATTCCCATGCCTAAGCCCCTTCGCATATTTTGTGTTTAACCTTGCGATTACTTAATGGTAGGATTTAGTTATAGTTATAGACATAGACGTAAAAAAAATCAAGCCATTACACATTCCTTGACAGGCATTCCAACCGATTAAGACGGTTGATCAGTTGCTTGACTGTTTTGCATAAGCATTCCTTAAGGCATTCCCAATTAAACAAATATTTAGCGAAATTTCTAGTCAACTTCTTGCCCCCTCACACATAGCACAAGCCATGATCCATATGATGCCACATGCCATTTCTGCTGAAAGTTGAAAATTCGCTCACCCAGTTAATAAATTAATTTTTAATTAGGAGTGGGCAATACGATGAGAACGTTTAAGGCACAACGAATTTTTTGTCAATATTGAATATGTAAATACCTAGAATATTATATTATATTCATTGGAATAGTGCAATTATTGGGTTTAATTTTTATTTGTTTACTTGTTTACTTTTTCAGTAATTACCTCAGTGTCAGTGTCGGTTTGTTTAGATCTTTAGGTTAAGTTACATATTCGTATTGGTTTATCTTAATTATATTGGCTCTTAATATGTTTCCAGATTGTGTTTTCCAACAGACACACTTCATATCCCTTAAATTACCTACACACATACATACTTACAATTATATACCATAATATTTAACATAATCTGATGCAAATATTCCAGGTCCGAACGGTCGTAGTTTAGTTGAAATTCAACATGTCTCTGGCGCGAATGTGCAAATTTCCAAAAAGGGCATATTCGCACCTGGCACTAGAAATCGCATTGTAACCATAACTGGTCAGCCGAGTGCCATTGCCAAAGCGCAGTATCTAATTGAACAAAAAATCAACGAGGAGGAGACAAAGAGGGCGCGTCAAATTCCATTAACCACTGTTGTGAATTAATAATCAAGCAATCAAGCAAGCAGCACAACAACAAAAAACAACAACAAACAACTATCCCCTATTAAAACGCATTTCCTCAAAGAACGGTTCATTTATAAAAAGAAAAAAAAACTAACAAACAAAAACAAACAAAATGCAAAGAAAACTAAAGGAAGAGTAAGCCTAAAACACAATAAATAAAAAAAGGAAAAAAGAAGCTAATTTACAACAAATAACAACAGCAGTAGCCATAAAAACAACAACACACATCCACACACAAGCACATACACATTAAAAAAGGCATTAGCAATGCGTTTCAACTATTGATAAAATGATTAGTAAGAGAATCCCAGAGAAATGAATTCGAACCCTTAGCAAATTTGATTTGACAAAAAACAACTACCTTTTATCATAATGCTGAATTTGTTTGCCACACTACATAAGTATATATATATACACATATATATATATATTTAAAGTTAAATATATATTTAAATTTGACCAAGGTATTGCGAGATACACCTGGGCTGATATTTCGCCTGCCTTTTTTTTGTTGTTGTCATATGTTGCGTGCTCTCTTTTGGGCACTCTGATAAGCTAAATCCCATCAGATGTATACATAAATATATATTGAGTTATATTCACATATATATTTATATATTCATAAGTTTGCTGCGCTTACATATAGAAAGGCATGTATGTATATGTATGCACATATGTACATATATGCACTTTATACACTAATTGTTGACTCGTGTTCATATTACAGAAAGTACACGACACGACACACACATACACACACACACACACATTTATGCATAATACACCAATACACACATACACAATTGAAACGAGTAAATTAGCATTATGTTGAGACTAAAATGGATATATTTGTGTAATGAGAGCGTTTTCAGTGAAAACTTCAGGTGATTTTCCAAAATGGTGTCCAAATAAGGTAAATATTTTACTACACACATTCACATGCATATGTACATATGTATATGCTATAAAATATATACAACAAATACACCTAAAACAAACAAAAAATGAACGCTTGACAGGCTAGTGATAACTATTTGAAACACTTTTTACCTCAAAGACAAAACCTTTTGCGTTTCTTGTTTTCTGTTTCTGTTTCTGTTTCTGTTTTCTGTTGTTGCCCTTTTGTGCTTATTGCTATGTTTATATATTTGTATATATACACACACACATGTTTCTTAAATATTACGTTTTTAGCCCTTAATATTCTATTATGATATTGTTAAAATGTTGATCATGATAATGTTGTTTAATTTTCGAAAGAGTGGTACAAAATATACCAAACAAGTGGTGTTAATGTTTTGAGCGCGCACGTGAGTCTCCTTTTTGATATTGGTTTTATGCTCCTAATTTGTCAATCCTCATATATTTTACACGTCTGTTTCGTAAGAAACGAATTGCGACTTTAAGTCCAGTTTGAGGCGGATCCCTTGTTTCTATATTTAAAGATAATATATAAACAAATAAATATAAATATGTTTATACATATATATACATATATATGTATATATATATCTATATATTTTTTTTCTTTCGGCCCCACTAGAATGAAACCGTTTGGCATTTTGTTACAATCATCATACATATATTCTGTTTTTGGAAAGGTTTCCACCATTATTTTTTCATACATACATTTTAATCTTAAGTATTACCTATTCTCTTTTTCGCCTAATGCATCACAATTAACTTTATCTTAAAATATAAATCAATGTCTCTGTAAAATAAACATATCCACACACACGCAAAAACGTGCCACCTAATAGGCCAAAAGATACCACTATTAAATTTTAAGTATTGTGCAATTATTACCCGTTATTTTGGTTACATTTGAACTCGCTGTACTTTATATACATTCATATTATATAGACAAGAATCCACAAACGAATCAAATATTGCAAAGCAAAAAGTTATTTTAACATCACATTTGAATTTGTTTTATTATGGAAGCCCCCATACACATAAAAACGCATGGATATATATGATTTACCTGTAATGAAAAATATTGTTTTACTTTCGCCCCCCCATTATTTACTCTAAAGTTTAATTTTATTAATAAAACAAATATAAATATACAAATTTTAAATAAAACATTGCCAAAAACGAAATCAACCAACATTGTAATGTGTTTAATTGAAAGCACCCGGCACATGGCGCATAAATCACCTCTCACAACCACAGCTCCACTAACAGCGTACTCTAAACAATTCTGCAACATTATCATGTCAAATCAACAGTCAGTCAGTCAGTCAGTCAGTCAATCAATCAATCTCTCAGCTCAGCTCTATAAGTTTTAACTTCAGTTCAGTTCAATACAACAATACAATCACTGAAAACGCTCAAGAATAAAAGAAACCCGATTCTAAGCTAAGTTTATCAAAATAAGTTGAAAAGTTGTTCACTTTATTATTGTATTTTTTTTTTTTTTGCTATTATTGTTAAAGCTTACCTTCATTTGTTCTTATTTGTGCAATATTTATATAAATATAAGAATAATAATAAATATGCGCCAAAAGAGTTAAATAGTTACAATATTCGTAAAAACCAAATTGTGACAAGTTTAACAAACAAAATCTTAAGTCAAACAAATCCAAACTTAAAGTAATATTGAAAGTACAGTCGAAAATGCTAGTGTGCCTTGACAAGAAAAAAAAAGAAAAAAAAATGAAGATTTCTGTTCGCTATTTTATGAATAATAATTACCTTTTTACATAATTATTAATTGTTACTAAGAGAAACAAGGCGTACAGAGAGTAGTTAAATTAAAAAAAAAAAATAGACCGTCAATACAATTATAAGATACAAAAGAAGGAGCAAACAATAAGGACAACGACAACATTCAGTTCTACAGCCACCATATCGCATACCACAAACTTAAGTGCCCGATGCAACAAAATCAGAACAAGCATAAGACACTAAACCAACTTCTGACCCCTAACAACAACAAATACAAAAAAAAACAACAAGAAAATTCGTACATTTTATCGTCTTTTTTGTCATGGCAAACCAGAGACAAGCAAAGGCGCCATGCATACAACAGTTCATATGTACATGCAGCATGCATAGGCACATGGCATATTCACAGTTACCTCACACACATCCGCACACGCACACATATGCCCACACCTAAATACATACACACACATGCATGCATAGATACACGTTGCATACACATTGGTCGTACTAAATAGGATCATATGCGCCTGCTCACAGAGTTATGTTTAATGTATGAGTTTTATACGGTATCTAAAGTTAATGTAGAGAAAACAAAAAATAAAACAAATATATATATTTATGTATATTTGTACTGGATCTGTGATATGTATTTAAAAAAGAGAAAACACAAGCAAAAATATGAAAAACTCTATATATATATATATGTACATATATATATATATACATAAATAAATATATATATATATATATATATACATATATATCGATTAAAACGAAACATGAAATTAATTATGAAATAATTAATTTATTCTGAAAGGACGAAAAGCTTTACTTCAGAAGCAAAACAAAAAAATCAACTAAAGCAGCGTGGCGTTTGTCATTTTCTAAGCAAATCCTTGCCACTGTTCGTTCCGAATGTCCGAATATATGTTCTTTTCCCCAAATCGAAGCCAAATCAAATTCCCGATTCAGTGTTAATAAAGCCCATGTCTAAATATGCCACGCCTTCATGCCGACCGATGCAAGATCGACTGTGTGTGATGAAAGAGAAGACAAAATGCTGCGCTCTGGGTCCTATCCTGCCGGACAGTCCACGTGATTATGCTTGTTAAGATTATATTGATTGTTTTTTAAATGCGTTTGTGTTTTTGCTGTATAATAAGGTCAGCTTTAATTATCCAGAAATCATATTGAATTCATTCTGATTGCTTCAACGAGTATCAGATAGTTAACACCAAATCGAACGGTCTACATATTAATCAGTCATATTTCTCATAACAACAGTCACCACTCGTCAACCTCCTCGGTACCCCTATACTAGCTATAAACTCATTTATAAATCCTTCGGAGCGGCGTACGCATATTTTATTTCGCAAGTTTTATAAAAGTTATTTAATGGTAAAAAATAGTGCTGTTATTTCAGCGACGGAGTCTATTAGAGTTTAACTAGTGAAAATAAAAAGAAAAAACTTTTATTAACTATATATTTACGTATTTCAAATATTTCAAACTTGACTTTAATGGTTAAAAAATAAAAACATATAACTAAGAAACGGAAGAGCGCAAGAAATCGAAAAATATGATATATAATATAATTGAACCGCAGTTTTTGCTCTGTAAAATAACATATAAAGCAAATTATAAAATAAAATTATATAATAAGTGCAAAAAAAGGATGTTACATTTAACAATCAAATCAGTTTTGTTTTGCTTGTATGGTAAAGAAAACATAAAATACATATATACGTATGTAGTAGTATGTTAATTCTACATAAAGTTGTTATTTATAATTTGTTATGCTTTGCCTCCACACTGTTATTAGGACAATTTAACAATTATATGCATAATAACACATATATTTATATACAGATAATATATATAAATATATGCACACACATTAATAAACTTATATATACATATACCGATAACAAGTGCAAATGGAAATAATATAAATCTTTTGGAAAGACGAAACGTTACAGATTTATAATATATGCGATATTATGACATAATGCGATAAATGTCAGGTTTGATGATGCCATTCTAGAAGCCGAAAGGTATGTGGGATATATGGCTACATACATACATATTCAGACATTCATATGTACATGCCTCCTCCATTTGCCATTGTGTGAAAATAGGCGCTAATTGGCAACAATAATAACAAGAAACCCTCTGAAAGTTCGGCAACAAACACAACCTATTCAAATATTAAACAATATGTATATTATATATATTTACATGTATATGTATAATATACAATATATACAAAAATAGCTGTTAGCGTGATACATAACATTATTATTATTTAATTCGTACAAGTAAAAGGTTTGAAGATGATACAAAACAAACATCCAAGGCTGCTGCGCGGACTTGTACTTTCTACTGAGCACCCTCCCGGGGAAATGTGCAACTCAGCTCAAAAACTTGCAACATTTATTTGTCATCAGGCGATGTTTGTCATCCATTCATTTAAGCAAAGCAGACTTGCGCTCATTGGTTTTATACAAGCATTGAAGCAATCTAAAGCTTCGATCAGATTTGCGAAGTCAACATATATATACAAATGTATGTTTGCATATATCCGTTCGCGAAACAAAAATGATGTATGCATGATATTGTTACATCATAGGTAATAATTCATTTAACAGTGTCACAGTCAGACGAGACCTTCTTATATTTGATATATCAATTTACCAAATGTCCAACATAGTTACAATAATTTTAATTGCATAATAAAGTCAGTCAGTAGTAAGGCCAAAGTAAACGTTTGTGGAAATTCAATGTTTTGTTTAGTCTTCTTTTTAAATATCGTAGATTTCAACAAATGGAAACCTAAGATAGTAGGAGCATACGTGAGTACCTTAGGATGAAAAACATAACTAATAATAGACAAAGTTTAAACGTTACCTTCACGTTGTATACTTACAAAACAACGTGTGGGATTTCATTTGAAGCTGTTATACAAGCCACTAGATTTTACAATTAAATCAGCAACACCAAATATAAACAATATAGAAACTTACCATTTTCTCAACATTTCTTAGACAAAGTCAACTACTTACTAACATGAATATTCAAATTATGATGAAGAAAAACAAAGGAATAGCACTTTTCACACAAAATTGTCGAAACTCAGTTGCACTTTACGAATACAAAGAAACGAACTCTTAATGCAATTTTAAAATTTGAAGCAAAAACCTCAATTGAACGGTGGTCATTTGAAATGCTCGTAATCGCAGAACATTCAAGCAAGCAAAACATCATGGAAACTCATTCAAAAGTAAAAGTACTAAATCTTTTATGATTTGACTGTGATAAAAATAATGACAAAAAGGAGATGAAGTGAATGAATTACCAAATGAATTGTATAATAGAGTATGTATAAATTGAATGTATGTATACACATGAAAGTAACCTTGCAGCAGGTGCAATACTGCGGCTCTTTAACAAACCCAATAAGTAGATTGAAAATTGTTTGGTACGTGCTCATAGTGCAACACCATGTGCGGCCTAGGATATGTTGTTTAAATAGCGATAATAAGTATGTATTTAATTACTGCAAAACAAAAAGCAACAAAAAAACAAATAAAACTAAACGAAACAAATAAATATAAAAGTTTTACTTATATATATTAGCAAAATATTTAAAAAAAATTTTAGCAACAAAATATCGAGCAAGGTATCGAGAAAAAAATAACAAACAGAAAAACTTAATTATTAACAACATGCAATAATTATATAAACAAACAAAAAAAAAATAAATAAAAAATTTAAAACAAAAAATAGATGATATTTAGTTATGCTCTATTAAAATTTATAATCGATTGAAGTTTTCTAAAGATGAGGTTCAGCTAGCGAAGCAGAAGGTTTTATAAATATATTTATCTATTATTTTACTTGAATTTAAAAACTATATATTATATCTCACACACAATCTTCATACAAGTAAGCCAGAAATTCATTTCTTGAATTTGTTTATGAAAAATGCAAAAAATGATAACTAAAAATAGTCTAGAAAGTGTTAATAAAGAAAAATCAAAAGGTAACGTAGCTCATTCAAATTAAAAAAAAAAAAAAAAAAACACGTAATTTTGAACCTACTCGTATAATAAATCAGATCTTGTACAATTTGGCAAGTGGCGCTAGCGGGACCGCCCAAATCCAAGAGTATACAACAAATAGTAATCTACATATAATTATATACAAATGCATAGTACATATAACCTAAGAAATTCATACTCGAATTGAATATGCAACAAACTCTTCAAGATCAGCGCGACAAAGATAAAGAATAAACAGCGGCAGGCTGGATACAATAAATAGAAAGCCAATATAAAGCTATGTAGGTCCGACGTGTCGATATGACATTCTACTGAATACAATGCTAATGGTAATGTTATGACGTGCGTCTGGCGCATACGTATGGAATCGTAGTTATAGTCAAATTTGTTGAGTACATATATATACACGCATAAAAAACGGAACACCAACAAAATACATACACGTAATGTCACATATTAGTATGAGGCGCTAAAAGATCCGTACTAAATAAACAGAAGTAATTGTAAAGTAAAAATCCAAGTCAAGGTACATAAAGAGTTATAAAATACACATACAAATAACATGAATTACTCATTTAAGAAAGATTATATAAAAATAAAAACCAGACAAAACTAATAAAGAATATATTAAAAAAAATTGTAGTTTTTCTTTTAATATTTATTCACATTTTACAGATGGCTTTAAAAAAAAAAGAATGCAGCCAATAACCAGGACATTTGCAAACTCAAAAACCGTAGCAGACAAAAGGTTGTGGACATCCTAAGGATCATAAAATCGCTTAGCTGAATTATTAGTATTCTAAAGGGAAAGTCGGCTATTAAGCACAACCTCCGGCCTGTAGCCATTTAGCCTGGTAGTCCTGGAATTTTAGTTTCATTTAGTCAATCAGTTTGTTATTTTAGTTTACTTTCAAGCAGAAAGTCGATTTCATAGTTTACAACAATAAAAGATAAAAAAATTGAAAACAATATTAAAAACATTTTTGTTTTGTTGAATCGCTTCGTTTAAATGCAGGTATAATTTACATAGCTAAGAGAACTATAGGTGCGTGTGCGATTCAGAGAAGTTTTTGGACCAAGAGTTGATTAAAATAGTAAATTATTTATTTGCCAACTTCGGCGGACAGTCTGGTTGATTGTGTGGATGGCTTTCGCGAATAGTTTCATTAGTCGCCAAATTTTGATCGAGCTGCAAGATTGTGGGATAAGGATCCAAGGTGACTTTGTACCTGAAAGAGGTTTGAAATATAAGAAATATTGCGTCTTTATGATGCTCAAACTCACCTTCTGGCGTTAAAAACTTGTGGAACAAGGCAGCAATCAGCCATGGATATTTCATCGCCCACACAGTATTTCCCAGACGAGAGCGAAAGCACCTGCTCCAGACCACGAAAGCCACGTGATATCCAATGTTGCGCCCACTCCCCGCTCTTTTCTTTGCCCAGGTGTGATAATACTAGTCTGTTTTGCAGCGGCTGAATACCAGAGCATATGATCTCAACAATCTCGCGCACTTTGGCTCGCTTGTGAGGATCCTGTGGCAACAACGGATGCAGCGGCCGTGTTTCATCCAGGTAGTGCATAATCGCCACGGAATCGCATAGTGTCTGTCCGTCTAAGCACAGAACAAGTACAGGATATATTGAAACTACCCAAAATTATGCGATCATAAGGCACATAGGATACTTACCAATTCGTAAAGCTGGTACCTGTTGCATAGGATTGAGTTCTCGATACTCATTCGTATAGCAGTTTGTGGAGTTATTAGCCTCAGTCGTAACCAGACTTGTCGGCCTAATTTCATATGGTATCTTTTTCAATCCCAATGCAATTCGTACTCGCCAGGAACAAGAACTGTAGAAATACGAGTAAAGCACCGGCTTCGTATCGGGGGAAACTCTAGAGCTGGACCTGCGCATTCCACTCTCAGCCAAATACATATACTTTGCTGCCGATTTTCTGAGTGCACTCATTGTGTGAGGGCAAATACTCGAAAGTCACGAATTAATTTGTTAAGGTAGTTTGTACTGGTTTTCAACTATAAGAAAATCAGCAAACCTTTCGTCTTTGATATCTTTATCCGACTATCAAGATGGAATATACAACCTGTATACCGTGTATGGCTATATACAGTCATATAATAACAACTAAACACTTTGTTAACCGACTACCGATTAAACTATCGATACAAAACACATACATTCATCCGATAGTGCATTCATTTAAGAATTAAACCAAAATCGATTCTTATGAAATACAAACGATCGACTGTATAAAGTTTAGTAAGAAGTTTATTTGTTAAATACATATGTAGTTAATATTTGGAACTGTTACAATATTATGGATATTAACATAGTAGAATTGTATGCGAAATCAGGCAGTTCGTTTAATTCTATAGGATAGATTCTCAATTCGATGTGAGGATCGATTAATGTGTGTTTTAAACGGGAAACGAGTAATTTACATACATATAATTTTGTGCATTTATTTCATTGGGTTATAGTTTGTGTCGTGCTTTTAATTTTAGGAAATACAGTTTTAACTTTTAGCTTGTTTATACAATTTTGGTAGCAAAGAGACATTAATTGTTCATTGTTATATTTTGCCACCTGATCTGATGTCTAAGTTATGGTATTTAAGTATCCTTAATTTAAACGTTTTCTGTATTTTTCACTTGTTCTTTACTTCGTAATCAGAATGCCTGCTAATAAAGTTGACTGAAGCTTTGTACTTTTCAAAAAGTTCCATGTAAAGCGCCCATTTTTTTTTAACTTACATATGTATGTATACTTCTATATAGTTGCGCATTTTGGTTTATAATGGTAATGTAAATTTGCACTTAAACTATTTTTGCATTTTTAAATCCCTGAATTAAATTTTGCTTTTCATTATGTGTTCTTGAATTTTTTTCCTGTTAGCCTAAATAAAATTCATAAAAATACGTTTATATATGAGTTTATCTTTTAGACCATTTTTTCATATTGAAAACTAAAGAAAATACATTTGTTATTTGTTTTTTTTGTTTTTTTTGTTTTTTTTTTGTTTTGAGAATTATCAATATTGATTTGTTAGCATGCCATTTAAAATTTTATTTTTATCGATAGTATTTTTATGCATTTATGCATAGTTAAATGCTGTTAGCAATTTTTAAATCACATCCGACTGTTTCTCTCAATCAAATCTCGCCTCTTCTCTATCTGACTCTAGCTCCAAAAATTGTTATTTCTTACTGTCGAGTTATACATATATTTGCTTGTTGTACGAACTGCAATTCACTTCTTCGTTTTACGGCGTTTTGCAGTTGTCGTCGGAAAATTCTATTTGTTTGGCAGCTCCGGCGGACAGTCCGGTTGATTGGAAGGATGGGCAGCTCGGAATGCTGGGTTGCTCTCCAGCTCACGATCAATGCGCAATATAATCGGATATGGGCGCAAGTCTACGTGGAATCTGAGGAATATTGTCTTAAGCCTCATTTTATCTCGTTTCTAATTATATGGGACTTACCTTCTGGCATTAAACACCTGCGGTACAAGGCAGCAATCAGCCATTGAGATTTCATCACCCACACAATATTTGCCTGCCGAGGTGGACAGTGCCTTTTCCACGGCACGGAAGCCACGTGTTATCCAATGCTGTGCCCATTCCTTCTTCTTTTCCTCCCCCACGTGGATTAGAACGATCAGGTTTTGAAGTGGCTGAATACCAGAGCATATGATCTCAATTATTTCGCGAACTTTAGCTCGTTTGTGTACATCTTGCGGCAATAGCGGGCGCTGGGGTCGTGTCTCCTCCAGGTAGTGCATAATAGCCACCGACTCGATCAGTGTATGTCCATCTACAAAAGTTAACAGTTAAACAAATTTGGAGATATTTTTGACACAAATTATGGCATATGCTGTGCTCACCAATTTGCAGCGCCGGCACCTGCTCCATAGGATTTACCTCGCGGTACTCATTGCAGTGTTGCTCGCCGCCAGACTTGATGAGACTAATAGGCTTGATGTCATAGGGTATTTCTTTAAGATTCATCGCAATCCGAACACGCCAGGAGCACGAGCTACGCCAATACGAGTAGAGTATTGGCTGTGTATCGATAGAAGCAGAGTTAGTTGACATTTTAATAGAATTGCTTATTGCTATGCTGCCAGCTCGTGGGATGCTGACAACAAAATGAAACCCTCAGTCAGCCAACTGTCATATCAGACCCATTTCTTGTGATATCTGTTCATTTGAATAAATAATGTAAGTCGACATAGAACAGAACAGGTTGACACTGATAACGAGAGCACAGACTCATCACATATTTTCAGAGGTGATCTGGTCAAACCAGTTGCTCAGCAGCGAGTTTGTTAATTTGCTTGTTGTTTCTCTTGCCGCTGCTAAAATTACGCTATAGTTTTTATTACTAAGTAGAACTACGTGGTGATAAAAAATATACATTCAAATGAATTGAGGATTTGAGGTGCGACATAAGCGGTAACAGATCTGGCATAACGTGTTCTAAATTGAGCCCCTTCTGGTAATGATAAATACATAAATCTAACAACTTTCATTAACATTGATTAAATGTCTCAGCAGAGAACAAAACATTAGAATTCGAATATTTTCGCTTTCGAATATATATTCGATTATTCTATGTTCTAGCAGTTGAAAGCACAAAAGTTGTTTAAGAAACCGTGGCCAATATTTATGTGATATTATTTGAGTCCTTATAATAGAACTGCAGTTGTTGCTATTTTAGTTCGGTTCATCCGGCTGATGGGTTATATCCTAGTCGAGCACTCCCGACAGGGACATGTTTACTTTGTTTATTTAGCACGAGGCATTCTTTTCAAATACTAATAGAAAAATCTGAGATACGCCTTTATCTGTTTTCGTATATAATAAATTATCTTCAAAGCTATATTCGAATTTAATTTTAAATATGGAAAAGGAATTATTTCCTTTGACTAGTTTTTAAAGAAGATGGTTACACTATTGATGGATTAGATTGATATCCAAATATGTTAATGTACATACAAAATTTCGTTTCTCTCTGTGTGGAATGCATTTTTTTTAATTTAAGTGCAGTCTACAGTTCCAAATTTGTATCTTTTTGCTTTAATTTTCCTAAGAGAGGAGTGAATTTTCGAAATTAAAAAGTGTTAATATCAACAAGAGAAAAGTGTATTGCGAAAGGCGATATAAATACTGTTTTAAGACAACTTTGATTTTACTGTGTGATGTATATGTCCAGCATCACATTTTTGAGGAATAATATAAATATAAATTGTATTTAATATCTGTTAGGAATTTACACATCATTATCTAATAAAAGATGAACATTTGTTCAGCTGAACAGTTCTATCATAAAGTCATGCAAATTTAATGAAACCGGATTTATTTTAGAGTTTTAAGCACAATTTGATTAATTCATATTGCTCTCTCTTTGGTATACCCACATGATTCATATAGGGGCCGTGCGTTAATTGACAATGCTGCAAACGATATGAAAGTTGTATACACACTGACCGCCTGTACCAAAAACCGAAATGTGTAGAGCAACAGTAATAAAAGCCAATGGCTCCGCACAGTGCCAAAATAACATACATACATATGTACGTATGTTTGTGTGTGTACATTTGCAAAAGGACCCTATCCCGTTCGCCAAAAAGCAGCGATTCCGGGAACAAATGACGGCCCACATAGGCCAACAATAAAAGGTCCGTATGTAAGTGTGTCTATATGAGAGCGTAATAAGTTGCCTAAAAGTTCGTTGAACCCATGTGAAAGTAAAGTCGGTAGTATCCAGAGACAGACATGGAGCCGAGAGTAGGCCGAGTCAGCACCGAGCTCCGATATGTGTCGTACATCAAGGTCGACTAGGGGCATTAACCTTAACCAATACGACGTTGTCCTGGTTGCTATTAAGCAAGAACAGGCCCGTATGATGCGCCAAGGACATTCGCAGACGTCCATGGCGCTGCGCTCAAGAGCTATCGCGAGCGCAGCACAAAATGGCTCACAAGTTTCGCTGGGGTGCTTTTATAGGGGTTGCTTCTGAGTGCACGCCACACTGTAGTTTGAGTTGAACGCAACCCGCAGGGTTGTCGAGTCCATCTATTCACTAATCCGTGCTCCCTTTGTCGTAGGCCTTACCACAGCCTAGCAACTCTGTACGCGCCATTTCTCAGTGTGTACGCTAGCGAAAAAAGCTTTCAGTTCTGCGCATGTGCGAAAAACGCATGCTGGCAGTATGAGTTTAACTCAAACCAGCGTCGGCCGCTGGCACCGTAGTATGAGTGAGTTTTCAGCAAGGATTTTTTGCCCAAGGAGGCACATAATTTTAGCGCCATTCACGCGGGACTTACCTTTGCTATGGCCGAGAGGGACATAGCGTTGTGATGATACTTTGAGTAGTTAATTTTGAAGCCGTTTAAGCCGAACGCACAGTGAAAACTTTAATTTGCGGACCGGACGGGGGTGGGGTGCAGCAAAAACTAGACGTGAGCTACGTTAGGCGGTCAAACTTCAACCTAGCCACCACCGACACAATAATTGTATTATCCAAGCAGCTATTGCAATTACGAATATGCGTTTGCCAATGTAATTTGGTGTTGTTCGATTTGTTTTATCTGACTGCAGGCGACCCTTAATGCACTCAAGTCGAACTCCGGCAGCTGAGGTAAGCGCGGCACGCAGCAGCAAAGGATAACAGCGACTGCGACAACGACAGGACACGATGCCAGAACGCAACTGAACACACTGAACTCAATAAACGAGTGCGAAAGCGAAAGCAAAGGACAACGACAAAGCTAACTGAGTAAGGGAGAGCGCGAAATGAAGTGACCAAGGCAGACAGAGAGAGCGAGAGAGAGAGAGAGAGAGAGAGGGAAAGGAAAGGAAAGGCCAACAGAACACGGTAGATATAGCAAAAGCTAAAAAATTGCTGGTAATTGTCTTAGATAAGCTTTCTTAGCTTTTTTCGAAACCAAAGAATCGGAATTATCTTAAAAGAACGTAAGCTGAATTGTTGTTAATAATAAAAACTATTGTTGTTTTTTTATGACCACCAGTTTATTTGTGTTTTCATTTTAAAATTTTTTTACTAGAGTTTTTGTAAGTTTAATTCATTTCCATTAAGGTTGCTCAAATGATTTTCGATTAAAATACGCGGCTTAAACCTAAAGGTATGTAACATATGGACTAAAATAGTTAACAACTTGTTACAGTTTGTTTCTACAGAAAAACGTATACAAATAAATACCTAATATACATATGCACTTATAAGTACATAAAACTAAAACAACATCAGGAAATTGAAGTTTAACCCATTACAAACATTAATTTTAGTTCTGTTTTGTAGAAATGCAACAATGTGTATAACGACTTTTAAACAGCCGCACAACCAATAGAATATCACACCAAAAATGGCAGAGTACAACGAATCCAACAAAGTGTAAGAGAGAGAGAGAGAGTGTGTGTATGTGTGTGTGTGTGTGTGTGTGTGTCTGTGTGTGTGTCTGTGGGTGTGGGTGTGTGCTTGTGTACATGTGTGTGTTTCTCTAAGGATACAGTGAACATTGCTAACTAGATAGGTAACGGTAATGCTAACAACAACATCGTGAGTCGTTCTTCGTTGAGGCAGGATTCCTGACTGTACAGATTTCTCCAGTGGGTGTACCGGACTTGGGCTTTGGGTACAACATTCATAAAGTTTAACTACCTCAGCGCTACATAAGTTCTCGTTGTCATTTTGCTAGCTAACAAAATTAACTGTATAAGTGTATACATAAGTATGTATGTATTTATAAAATTGCCAACAAATCAATAAATTATTGTTGTAATATTTTTAGAAAATAGTGTCCATATATCATCATATTCGTGGTCGTCATCCAGACTGTACCTTTGTTTGCAAACTATGCATACATTTTTCGTAATCTTTCTTTTTTGTTTTTTACTTAACCTAATGCATTCGAAGAATTGACTACAAGTTAATGGCAAGAGCCATACCTTTGTTTTTGTTTGTTTGTTTTTTTTTGCTTTTTTTTTTTGTTTTAAAGAGTTTACATGTACAACATTCGTTACACATACACATACAATACACAATAATCATAATAATCATAATTATTTGAATGTTCAATACAACTGGTAACATCATGCTAAATACAATATGCCATCATTATAAGACAATTGCTCAAATATGCTAAAAACTTTTCATTCTATTATAATTATCAGAGACGCAGCCATAGTCGAACATTTTTGACCATTTTAGCAATACATAATTTTAAAAATTATTTGGAGGGAATATTCATGATTCTCAAATATCTTTACGTTATTCAATTTGATATCAAATGTAAGTGTAAAGAATATTTCCATATGTATAACTAAAAAATATCGTATTCTTCTCTGTTTCAGTAACGAAAGAGATATAGTTTTTGTTTTCGATTTAGTTTCGTTGAAAAAATGCATAAGTTATGTGCCAAACAATTTGCATTTGTTATTCTTAGGTACCAAAAATGTAAAGCAAAGATTAAGCAGATTTGTATTAAATGATAGCATGTAAAATCCTTTTGCCGTTCATTTCAATTTACACCTATTTTGATCATCAGTTACAACCATGAAAACATTTATGTTTACATTTATGCATTTGTACACATACATGTGTGTACCGTAAAATATTTCTTACTGTATCAATAATTTTAGACCAATATAATTATGTGTGTCTGCGTTTGTTTTTCGTTTTGTTTTTTTTTTTTTTTGTTTTTTCTTTTTTTTGTATTTTAGAGAATTTACATGCTAAGTACAATTTACGTTCAACAAGAGGTTATAGCATTTTAACTAATGCCATAAAGTAACAGTTTCTTTGTTTATAAAAGATTTGCATATTACAGTTAAAACTTACGTCTGAGAGTTGTGTACTTGTATATGGTACTTTATTTTTACATTCGTACTGTTGGAGATTCGGGAAAGTACCCACATTGATCGAATCAGTAATACTGAGCTGTAGAGTTAGTTGCGATGAATGTGTGCACGTGTGATTATAGGCCTGAATTAGTTGCGATGAATCTTGAATCTTGGCTAGATTACCGTGTGGCACAAAATATATATTTAAAAATAACTTATCTTATGAGCTTATGAGTCATTGAGCTGATTGATTAGAAGTGTCTGTATATTGTTCAAACCTTCAATAATAATAATTTAAATCGAATCGAATCTCACGATAATCAAAGATCTCATGAAAAATAATACAAATATGTATATACCACACTCTCTGCCTAAGAAATGTATAATATAATCATCATTCATCACTAGTTCGTCAGACCTATAGAAGTATGCCTTACATGTATATTTGCATTATCGGCATTTTGCCTGAAATTTGCACTTATATGCTAAACAGGAATGCAATCATCCATAGAAATTTGGATGATGATGTCTGTATTTACTATGTATACATGTATTGAATGCTTTTCTTATAAGTTTTAGTTTCTTTTTTTGTATTTTAAATTAAATTGATATGTCTAAGAGCTATTATCAATCGTTTTCAATTTTAAAAAGATTCTGTTTGGTATTGTTTCTCGAAGTAATTCAGTTGTTTTTGTTAATATGAACTTGTGCATATGGTTAACTCCATATAAGAAGTTCCTCAGATTGCACATAATTTGTATATTAAAATTATTGTTAGAAAGTGATTTTTGCGAATACATAAGTATATATTATATTGTTAATTCACTTGAGTTTGAGTTTTGAGCTAAAGTCAGTGGCCCATGAGCGCGTGCAGATCCAGCATTTTGTTTTTTTTTTAGCTTATATACAGATTTTATAGTATGCACATACGCTCGATCTAATCGTATGTGCATGTGTGTATATATATTTATATATTTATATATATATATTTATATTATATTATACATTCTCGTACACTTAATGAACAATCACAACGCAGAGTATTCGAATAAAGTGCTGGCGCCGCTGAGATTGCAGTTTCTTTTGAAATTAGAGGAAAGTGAATATAGCACAAAATATATTTCACAGATTGTCATATCTACTTTGTTTGCGTTTCGACTAATGAAATAAAAATGCACCCAAATCGCATTGAAATAACAGATACGAATATTTAATCAATAGATAAGGAAATATTAAACATAAAAATAAATTAATATATATATATATGTATGTAAATATGTGTGTAAGACAAAAATGAATCGAGCAAGAAGTTCTCTTGTGACTAGACGGTAGGACTTACAACTTGCAGACTAGTTTAATATGCTATATGTTATTATTTAACTCTTCTTCTTATTCGAAATATGGCTTTTTTGTCTTTAGGAAACTTTATGGTAAAGCAACAAATTACCGAATCTTACTTAACATTACCTAAATAATACAGCTAAGTACATATTTATTATTTATGGTATATACTTTTGCTTAAGCACACATTTGAAGACTTTATTCATAATACTTAAGACTTAAGCTTGAAGGCATTTTTTAATATTTTTTTCAAGGCTTTTCAAAGTAAAGCATTGTGGGAAAGGAAGGGAAATTGTGTCTATGTATTGACTAATTCGTAGAGAAAATGCACACAACATAAGTCGATAGTCAGAATTTGAATTTTCTATTGCACATATGTTTTATTTTATGTATGCACAGATTCGTTTCTGCTAACATAGACCACATAAATTTGCGATTGTACGCGTATATATATACGTTTGGTACAAAAATAGTGTAGCTGTCTTGAGAAGAGTCTTTTTAAGTGGCTTTCGTAGCCCACAACAAACAGTTCTGAAGATGCTTAGTGGTGGGTTGCTTTGGCTGTAGCTGAACCTAATTACATTTGTATTCATATGCAATTGTTGACCTACATAACATATTGCAATTACGTATCTATGTCTGTATGTATGGGTGTATTTGAATTATTAGCAAGAAGTAAAACATACTTTTACACTCACAAATACCAAACAATTATGAACATTATCTAACTAAGGGCTATGAACATGGGGTCTTCCTTTTTAAAGTTAAGCGAATAAAACGTAAGGAGGACGTAAAGATAATCTGGCACAGGTTTGTGCATCGGAACATGTTTATATATGTAGCAGTATTCTGCATCCTGCAGTCGTGTCTGAGTATTGAGTATTGAAGTTCAGGACTGGATTCCGTGTTAAATACTTATTTAGACTAGCTGATGTCCTATTGATCGATTAATGAGCAAATTACAACCTTGAAAATTGCTAAGAGTTTGTTTGCTTTTTGCTTGGCTGTGTCGGTTCGAGTTGGTTAGTTTTATGTATGTAGCTCTAAATACAAGTAGATTTTGCATGCATTTTTTTACAGATACATTACATTACATAACATTATACTTATTTACGTCATAATATACCACTGGCCTCGTAAACATTTATTGCGTACACTCAATTGATCTATTTGCTGTAGTACATTAGCTCACTGTCCAAATGGAAAACGTGTGATTCTTGTTGTTGTTATTCATCATTTTACTGGCAGATTTACTGTTATACCAATTAGGTACGCGTACATATACATTTATATTATTAATTAATATATGTTTTTAAGTACTATATACCTACTAAAAACGTTATGTGTATATATTGTGTGTAGTTTGGGGCTAAACAAAAGATGTTTTTTATACCCTAAGTTATCGCCTCGAGGTGAATGAGTGTGTGCTTGTGTGTGTATCTGATTTATCAATAAATATTATGTCTTTTATGCATTTGGAGAAACATTAAAATAACATTTACTTAGTAGATACAAATGTATATGTATATAAAGAATTTACTATGTATATAAGTATATTTACAATATATTTATCTACTTATATGCATGCATTTTTCTTCTATATATGTAGTTTCTATTTACAATATGGCGGTAAAAGTTAAAATGTTTCAATTTGAGTTACACTTTGTTTTCTTTTTAGCTAAAATCGTTTTTGATCTCACTCAATATCACTTGATTTCACTAGAATTTTTATTTGCTTTACATATAGCAATAGTTTAGATGTGTAAGTACAATAAAAGTTTTAGGTTTTCTGCTTGAATTTGCTGAATTGGAGCTTAAAACCTAAAACAACAATGATCGTATAAGCTATATACTTTTGTATGTACTCAATCATGTACATGTCGTAACTCTTACTGGCTAAACACGTATCGCAATAAAAAAGTATCTGTAAAATGGGATGCAACTAGTTTAAGTAGAAAAACATGTATTAAACAGTACGTACGGGCTACTAGATTAAATCAACGTTGATTTGGACTTAGGTTAAAACTACAGTCGAGTCGAGAGTCAAGAAAAACGCCTACTGTAAAAATACGGTAGGTATATTTAAGTGTGTAACACAAATATTGCATTTGCCTACAATAACTAGTTAATAACAATTCAATTTGAACTTGCTTCACTGTTGGTTAAATTTATGTACAAATTAGACTATGACTCAGATCTACATATATCTGTTAGTGTCAAGCCCAAGAGTTGTCTAGCAGAGACAGAAAGATATATAGGTAGATAGATAGGTAGTGAGATAGGAAGAGTGTGTAGAAAACATGTGAAAAGTATGAATTAGAAAAATGCCTTTAACTGCTAAATACATCAAAATTACAATATTCATTTACTTACAATACACATTTAACTCTGAGCTTGGTTATTTTTTCATAAATGTCTGTATTTTACTTTACTTCTGACTGTAGACTAACTTTATATTCTAAGAGTGGTAAACAATGCTTGCTGCTTGCTTTACGCGATTGTCAATCGATGCTGGTGCCTGGCTATTTATCCATATCTAAGAAGATGCGGTGGCCAGAACTGTTACTGCAGAGGGAGCCGATGGTACTGCTGATGCTGCTACTGCCACTGCTACTGCAGACAGAGTTCCATTGTTAGATTGCTGTTTGGAATTGGATGATTGTTCAGCTTCTTGTACTCGATGCGTTTTCATATGGGCACTGCGGCTTTTGACCTTATTGAAGACTCTGGTAAATACAAAGACAGAAGAGTAGCAAGTGTCTTATATTAGAGTCTTGAATTAACAAGGTCGGTACGTAATTTAACTAGAATGCGAGCTATAGAATATAAGCACAAAGAACACTTAGATGTAGAAGGGAACACAGATAAAGCAGAGAATTTTTAATATCTAAATTACATGCATATAAGTAGATGTATAGATTTTGCGGTGATGCATGCAAAAACACGAAAAGCTTTTTTTTCTGTTCTATTTATTTAATTTCTTTTTGTCGGTATTCTGTTACTTAGCCTTGTGTGGAGATAAATTGCTTTGTTGTTATTATTTACTATGGAGAGTACAGAGTTTTGCTTGAAAGTTTCGAAACATAAAATAGAAAATTAATAAGTATAGTTGTAAGAGAACGAAAGAGTTAAAATTTATGTGCGCTGGAATGTTGTAACATAATGAATACAATTGCGGCGATTCTTCAGTTGTGATCTCGAAACAATGCGTTATATACATATTTGTATAATTTAGACCAAATTTTAAGCCAATCAGATGCTCAGGATCACGCATAAAGCAAGCTCCTTCATGGTATGAAAGAATTTCACATTTAGAAATTGGTTAAAATCGATGAACGAATTTCCCAGAAACGGTTATGTGGGTGTTATATTTACAATAGATCAAATGCAATTGCCATTTAGCGCTACATTTATAAAACAAAATAAGTAAGTACAAAAATACATAAAATCAGAGAACAGAGAGTTACGAAGTAATTAAGAGACAAACAGAAATGAAATAAAAAAAACGCAAATTGAAAACATAAAATTATAAATATATCATATATATATATAAATATATATATATACTTACCCTTGGCTTTGACGTCGTGGCCCAAGCGATTTTAATCGCCCTGAGGCTGATATTGTGAGGAGTTGATTTCAGTAACGCCTATTTGCGACCTGTGACACTTCGCTTTAAAATTGCAATTTATTGAATCATTTATTGATTTGATGGTTTGAGTAGGCGCGCGTATTGTAATTGGATATAGTTTAATTTTGTTTAGATTGTCATCATGGAACAATAAATACAATACAACAACAATAACAACAATTATTATCGCGTAATGAAAACGTTAACTAAACGGCATGAAAATTTAGGACTGATACATGGAATGAACTAAATGCTGCAAAGAACACTACGAAATCAAGGCATGAAGCAAACCGAGGCTAACATATAGTAGATCGATAGGAAAGGAGCTAGAAAGTGTAGAGCAGAACTTACTATAAGAAATCATAGATTTTAAACGAAAACAAATTTACGTTCAAAACGAAAATGGAAGACGGAAAAAGAAAAAAGAAAAAGAAAAAAGGAACACGAAACCAAAGTGATAGTTATTAGCCCAGATGTTTGGGGTCAATTACAAATAACTTTTAAGACGAAAGTTACGGCTACGATATAACGTGCTTTACGGTCTTAACTCAATACGGGCACTCAAATCGCTCAATATGCTTGCGTAATTCAAATTTTCATGAGCTGGCATTTTAGGTTTTACGAATTGTTGTGGATATTTTCTTGGGGGAATCTTACTTGCCGCACACCTTGCAGGGAAATTCACTCTCCTTGGCTGTATTGGAATTGCTGCTGTTGCTGCTGTCTTTTGATGCTGTCGATGCTGTTCCTGTTGCTGCTGCTGCTGCTGCTGCTGCTGATAACAGAGCAGTATTTATGGAAGAGCCTGGTGCAATGTTGTTGCTGATAATATTGTTGTTGAGGGTGGAGTTATTGCCATTGGCGTGCGTTATGATTGTTGTTGTTGCACTGTTGCATTGATTGGTATGGCTACTAGTCTGGGTTGCGCATGCGTTGTTGCTATTGTTGTTGCTGCTATTGTTGCAAGTGTGGTTGTTGTTGGCACTAACTGCCGTGGCATGCTGGTTGTTGTTGTTGCTATTACTGTTGTTGGCATTTCTGCCATAAGCGTGTATGCGAACATGACCATGCAGAGCTGCTTTTGAGGTGAAGCTCTATAGTTTGGTCACAGACGCGGAGTCAAACGCAGGGAGATATATTAGCAGTATGTACAAGAAAGAAAGGAAAAATGAATGTGAGTCAGTTTTGAGGACTTGTTGTTGTGCTATGGGGCTAGGCAGAACTAATTATGGTCATATGCCGGACTCAATATATCGCAGCATTCATAGACTATAACTTACCGCCGAGCAATCGGCAATCTCGCAGACGTAGGGCTTCTGTTCCACTATTGGGGTGCTGGCAGGAACTGGCTCCATCTTTAGGTGAGAAACCTTGTAGTCCACACATAGCTTTTTCCAAAAATAATACATTTGAACGCATTCGCCCGAAGTCTTCGTAAGTAACTGAAAGGAATGTAAGTATAATTGTGATACCAGGAAGAGTGCTCAAAAATTCTTAAATAGTATGCTTAACAGTAACAAACATACTCATTCTCGTTTCTATTTTGTTGGTTCAAATCTCTAACAAACCAAATAACAACAAAGGGATGTTGGTATCGACGCTTATCGATTTTCGGTTAAGGCCTCGAGAAGACGCAAAAAAAAATATTCATTTTATTATTGATTTCAAAGATGCGTGGTAAAGATTTATCAGGCTTAAGCAAAATATTTTAGACTGTGTTTAAACGTTTGAGTAACAAATAAATTTGAAATAGGCAGAGTCTATCGGCAAAAGCGTTTAAAATTTGGTCTTTTTCGAATGCCTACCAAATTTCCATAAATTATTTAGGTATTTTTGGAACAGTTGGTGTAATACTCAAAAATATAATTTAACGGGATTGACCTCGTTAAAATACTTCCCCGCAATATGAAGAAAATAAACCGATCGTTTTTTTTTGGTGAAATACTTCCATACTATAAGTGAAGCGGACTTCTTGCATTATCTCTTAATAGTTCCCATAGTTAAATGAATGCTACGGCAGTTGTAAGATCGAGAAAAACCTAAGGTGAGGCATTGAGGAGCGTGAACCAAAGATATGTTTGGCCTGCAGCCATCCTTAAAATAAGTAGTGCCGAAATTGTTTTGGAAACACGGACTTTGTTACGTTCTTGTTCAATTTTATATGGAAATACAATTGCATAGCCCAATTTTGAACGCTGCTATAGATTTTAAGCTAAAAGACCTTTTTAAAACTTTCCTATACAAACATTATTTTGTGAGTTACTTAAATTTACCTCGCTGGCAATTTTTCCAAAGTCCTTCCCGTGCTTCTCCAGACCACGTAGAAACTGCTCTAGCTCATAGGCAGTCCATTTCATTTGGAATGCGCTGGACTGCGTTTGCAACAGGGTGAGCACAGCCGCCGCTGAGTTGCCTTTGGCCTCGAGCAGCGTTTGAAGGGCTACCTCTTCGGAATGGCTACCCATGGGAACGGCCGAAGATTTGCTGAGATCTATATAACGCATTAGTATCTTCTCGTCTATCTGTACGCTTGGATCCCAAAGTAGGTCTGCACTCATTGTTTCCTTGGTTGATTCTTCTGGCGATTTGCAGGCTGGGATCTGCGCTTGATAAGTGGATCCAAGATTCACCTTGGACTCATCGCAGAAATCAACCAACCCCACAGGATCGCCAAAGTCATCGTCAAAGACGTCAAACATTCCTTGGCCGAGCTGCTTACGCACATTGCAATAGAGTCCTGTGCCCTTGCGATCTGGATTAAGAATTGGCGCGGGTGTGTAGTGTGTCCGCGAAGGCTTGCGTAGCTTTGAGCGATGCGGGGAAAGTGTTTGGAATTTCGAGAACTTGTGCACATCCTGTGCTCCATTTGAACGCAGGCGACGCTTTAAGATGGAATTAGTTTGGTTGGACAGCGGCTGTAGATTGGAAACGCTCGGTGTTGCTGTGACTACTGGTGTAGCTACTGCTGCAGGTAATGCGGCAAGCATAGGTTTGCTGCAGTTATTTTTGATGCTGTCGCCGCAGGCAAAGAGCAGGCTCGCATCCAGTTCAGTTGTCTGACCGGCATTCGAGTTAAGCATCGAGGTAAATGCTTGTTTATCGTTGGATGCGCTGTTGCTGCCATAAAGTATTGGCTGCAGCAAACTATTCAGTGGCTGCAGCATCATCGACTGCTGAGTGGCATCTAGGTACTGTGTTTGACAGGACACGGGAGTAAAGTTGGTGAGCATAAAGTCTGTCTGTTGCTGCTGTTCTGGTTGTTCAGATTGAATTGCAGATTGCTGTGGCAATTGCATTTGCTCTTGCTGTTGCTGAGATTGCTGTTGCTGTTGCTGTTGCTGCTGCTGTTGCTGCTGCTGTTTCTGCTGCTGTTGCTGCTGCTGTTGCTGCTGCTGTTGCTGCTGATGTTGCTCTTGCTGTTCCTGCTGGGGCTGCAGTTGCAGTTGCTGTTGCAGTTGATGTTGGTCGTAAAGTACAGTGGTAGACTGCAACTGCTCGATAGGTTGTGTGGTCGATGTCGTAGACGTTGTCGTGTGGACAACCTGTCGCTGCTGACCGAATTCTCTTGGTGAGGAGGACAAAAGTGGATCATCAGAGTTAGGCATCATTTGGGATTGCAGGCCCAGCCCCGGTAAATAGTAAAGATCAATGATGTTCTCGCCCTGCTGCTCGCTAGTTAGCTGCAGTTGCATATTTTCATCGGGCAGCACCTCACGTAGCACCTGCTTAACATCCTCTGCAGATCCAATGCCACTGGTGAAGAAGGACTCAGACAGAGGCGAGGTAGCATTTCGTGAGTCATTTAGGAACTCCTGATCCTCATCGAGAAATGAGAGATTCGTCTCGGCAAACTCCCGCAGGTCGCATTCGGCATCGTCCTCGGTGCTGTTCAAGAGATCTTCCACCTTAATGGATGGATCGAAGCTGCTTTCTTCCAGCACCGACTTTAGTTTAAGTATTTTCTCGTTGTCATTATCACTGAGCTGCTGCATGGAATCGCTCTCGTCTGTTTTAAAATAGACGTGTGAGAAGTCTGTTTTATCGCCAAAGAACGTGTGACTGGCATCCACAAACTGAGCCGCAGCATCCTCTACAAAGGGTGAAGATTGAGCCACATTCTCGTGGCTGGAGGGTGGCGTCGGGTAGGCTAGTGGCGAATGCAACGGTGACGAGAGCAAGCCTAGGGTGCTGTTTCCACGCATGTTGGCGATGGCCTGGATTTGAGAACTGTTCTGCATGATAATCTCTTTGGAATGAAATTGCTGAAAGGTGGGCAACGGCGTCGTTTTATTGAGGCTGCTGGCTGTGCTGCTGTGTACAGGATCGGGCTCCAGCTTGACCAGCCGTGTGTGAACATTATCGCTGGCCTCACTGAGCAGCGAAAAGTCCTCGGAATGTTCGCTTTTGTGCACATCGTCCTCGTCATCGTTGAGCAGTTCCATAGTATCCACAGTTTGCAGTAGCATTTCCGTGTCCGATACATTGTACACCTCAGCGTCTTCGAAGAGATCCGATGCATCCGCATCGGAAGTGTAAGTAACAGTGTAAACACCCCCACCACCAGCTATGCTGTTTGCTTCACCGACACCTACACTCTCCTGGCTGGGCGTTATGGTCAGGGAGAGGGGAGTCCCGTCTGGCAATGATATACTGCTTGCAGAACAAGTTGTATTGCTGTCGTTGGTTGTGAGGGAGTTGCTAGAAATTAACTTGCTCTTGGTGGACACCACGTGCACATCAGAAGGTATGATGACGGTGCGATTGTTGTTGGTGATAATCTGCCGACCAGCCTGGACACTGCTGCTAATGGTTGTGAGCTCCGAGCCGCCAACATTGCTTAAGATCAGATTTGTACTGTTTTGTGCCTGTAGCTGTGTTTTCTTAGAGGCCACGGCAATGCGCGTTCCACGCTTAAGTAACTCAATTAACGTCGAGTCTTTGGAGTCCGCATTGCTAGTGACGCCACTGATGCTACCGCCGCCCTTAAGAGCCGTCAGTGCGCTCATGGTTGTTGTCGTTGGCACGTTGTTGGTGGTAATGGTAATTGTATTGGCGCCACTGCCCAAATTAAGGGTTTTGGGATGTCTGTGACCTCCGCTGAAGATCTCAATACTTTGCGGCAGTCCAATCTGCTGTATACTTAGCCCAGAGCTGCTCTTGATAGTGGTAGCCGCGGGCAGCACCGCTGTAGTAGTACTGGTGCTGGTGGCTAGTGCCTGGCTCAGGCTGCTCGTGTTACTCTTCGGGCTTAAGAAGCTCTCTAAGTCGCTTAAGGAGCGGCGCAGACTGTTGCTGTTGTTGCTACAGCTGCCAACACCTCCGTTGTTTGCGGTGCTGCTGGGTGGAGCAGGCACAACGAAGGCGCCCTGCGAGACAGGAGACGGCATTAATTTGAGTCGTTTTATCGGGGGCTTATGTCAAATCACCTTATTGATGTCCTTGCGCTTACTAATGATCTTCTCCTCGATAAGGGCACGCACACCTATGCTCGCAGTCTGCAAGGGCGGTCCGCTGGAGTCCTTTTTCTCGCTGCGCTTGGTTTCCGGATCCTTTTTAAAGTAACCGCCATGCAGACGCATGTGCCCATTGAGAGCGGGTATATTTTTGAACTTGCGGTGACATAGATTGCACTCAACCGGCTTGTCAATCTTAACAATATTGAGCAGGTGGGGATTAATAGCGGCCACTAGCTGCTGGTTCAATTCATCGTCCTTGACCTCGTCAGGTGAACTTGAAGCGGAGGCAACCATATCTGTACCATCCTCCACGGTAACGGTGACATTTTGCGCATTATTGAGCTGAAAGTATGAACAGCATTATGGGTTAGAGGTCAATAAATCTTGGGCTCATCCAATGCTTACCAATTGCATGTTCCACGTGCGTGGACGTGCCGAGACTGGTGCCGTCTCTGTATTGATCTTATAGGAGCTGACGCTGTTGGGCGAAGAGACCGTCACTTGGGCACTGGTTTGCTTAGTCTGTTGCATGATCTTGCTTATGAGATCGAGTTGCTCGCGCGTTAGTCCATCGCCCTCTAAGGTTGCGCCATCACTAAGCGTAATTGTGGGCGAACTAGTCAGAACGGAGCTGCCGCTACCGCCAGATGTTGAGCAAGATGATGATGTTGTCGACGATGCTATTGAGGATGTCGAAGTGGTAGGCGACAGCAATGTGACTCCCGTTTTAATTGGCAAATTCATAGCCTTGATCTGTTCATCGGACAGCGCAATGCCAGTGGCAGCATCCACCACAGAGCTGCCTGTGGAAATGTAGGTACGAATGCAAGTGGCCCCATCTGGCGAGCTGGCGTCCCCACTAGCTGTAGCCGGTGAAAGACTTAGTGAGCTGGTGGTCACACCCACACTACTGCTGCTGCTGCTGCTGCTTCCGCTGCCGCAGTTTGAGCTAGCTGTGGGCGAGAGTGAGTTGTTATTGAGCGTTGCCACGCCTCCGTGGTGATTCTCTGAATGACGGCGAAGAGAACGCGCATCGCAATATGATTTGCCGCAGCCATCTGCCTTACACTCGTAAGGCTTCTTGTTGCGATGCGTCATCATGTGTCCGTTTCTAGGGTGGAACAGGAAATTTTAATTGAATAGGTTAGTAGATCAGTAGATCGATGCAGCGCTTCATTAACTTACAAGTGATCTTGCCGCTTGAATGCCTTCGAGCAGAGCGCGCAAATATATTTCCGCTCGTCGCTGTGCGTCAGTTTGTGCTTGGCCAGTGCCGAAGCATTTCCAAAGATCTTGCTACAAATCTATAAAAAGTACACCAAAGCAAGAGAAATGTAATTAGCATCACACTCGGTCCTCAGATGCCGTCTACATTACTGAAAGCTTTGCAGACGCCCCTAAAGGCTATTTTGAAATTTTAATGAGCCACGTTGCGTGTGCGTAATATAACATACGTAGTTCGTAATACATAATTATGCTTGTTTTTATGAAATGAGCATAGCCACCGACGTAAATTTCGACATGAATAGGACACCTTTAACTAATACGGGCAATATTTTACATATTGAGAATATCGAAATATCAGAATTAATTTGCTCTCAAATCGAGTATCGACTAAAGAATAGAATTGCGAAACTTTGCAAACCCTATTTAATATAATCCGTAGGGAAGGACAGTTCAATTTTTTTATTTATAATATTTTGGTGGCAGAAGCTAAATATTTTTGAAAACAAACAAGAAAATGATTTTATATTTAATGGACCCTGTGGGGTGGGTATTATTAAAATGTTTAAAATAAAGTTCGAAATTTATCCAAAATTTAAATCTGTTACGGCCATAATATTGTCTCTATCTTCTGAAGTGGTCATTCCGAATTGTGATCTGGGAAAACATAGATTTTTGCGGTATGCCCACGACCAAGTTTTAAGCTTTTTAACAGAGCCAAAAGACGAGTATACAGACGGGTGAACAGAAAAACGGGGATTGCGCAAAACCAATATAACCTTTGCTTTACGGTTTTGGCACTTGGCCAGTGCAGTTAATTACGCACCTGACACTGCTGGGGTCCGTGACGAGTCGGCGAGGATAGTTTGGGTCGGCTCTTTCTGGGTGCGTTATCGACGGTAATAATGCCAATGCCGGTGCCTGTGGTGTTCGTGGATGCTGCTGCAGTTACAATACCAGGAACATTTCGACCGTTGCTCTTGAAGCTCAAACTGTGACCGCTGCTGCTGTTGCTGTCGTTACTGCTGCTGTTGCTGCTGCTGCTGCTGCCAATGCTAATGCTGCTGCCCACGGATGAGGCGTTGCTGAAGTTGCTGCTGTTGCTGCAGTTGCTATTATTATTGTGCTGACTGAGTAAACTGGCTGCGCTGCTGGTGCTGCTGTTGCTCATAATCTGCGCCAGCGTCGTGACATTGGTGGCCGTGTTGCTGCAGCTGCTGCTCCGTATCAGACAGTTCTTTATGTAGTTGGTCTTGCTGCCGCCAATGCTGCTAATGGTTGTATTTGTGGAAGCGCTAACAGTTTGCACGCTGATCTTATTGCTGGCACTGCGTCGCGTTATCGTTATTTTATTTGGACCGGCCAGATGAACTCCAGAGCTCGTTGTTGCTAGGGTGTTGTTCAGAATTGTTGTTGAAGTGCTGCTGTTTCTTCTGCTGCTACCATTGATGTAGCTACTTCGCTTACTGTTGTTGCTATAGATGTTAGTATTGCTGCTAGTTTGTTTGTTTTTAAATGCTGAAAATGGCATGCATAAATGTAGTTAATCGATTCAAGCCCGTACTAGTTCTGACTTACAGGCGGTCTGTATGGTGCCCAAGACATCTGCTAACATGTCCGGATCCGGATAGCCAATGGTCAGCGCATTCTCCAATGCTGACGTTATTCCTGACGATGCCGAGAACGTTTCAAGCACTGTGACGCCATTCGCTTGGGTGCCTAATGACGATGTTGATATTGCATTGGTTGCTATTGTTGTTGCTGGTGCTGTTGTTGCTGTTGTCGTGCTGTCGGCTGCCTCCAAGGCATTCGCATCTCTTAGTTGCAGTGTTACGGAACCCTCGCTGCCGACAGATGCGCTGCACATCAGCACGCGCGGTGCGCTGAGATTCGTCAATGGCAGGTGTATGCTCTTAGGTACCTGCGGCGGACAAAATATAGAGGAGCAAAGGCTAAAAGCTGCTTAATTATGACTACACCTATGCTAATATACATTATTTATCTGTGCGCTTTACTGAATAAGAAAGATAATTGGAAAGAGGCAGAGCTACAAACACAATATGCCGTCGTGTCCGTTCTAAATGACTGCCACGAGCTAAGCGACAACTGAAGGCGTCTTCTGCGGCTGTCAGGCGGGCTTATTTTAGATTATTGATAATTCTCGGCAACTGTCACCTAATGAAAGACGCGACGCATAATTAATTGAATTTAAATGCATTTCACTTTGAGTCACATGCCTCTTCATATTGTGTTGTAGTAAGCACGGAAGTCGACGGGTCCAACAATTGCAAACGTCCTCGTTGCAATATAAAATACTTAGACATATACGAATTTGTGTGAGCGTTAAATTGCTTTGCGCAATGTTATATTTCAGGGGCAGCCTTTTGATATGTTTGATATGACAGCGCATGTATATATTTATTAAAATGCAATAAAAACAGGAGTCGATGCTCTGGGGAAGATCGAGTTTACTGGGTCATATTAACATGCATATTTGCCAAATGGACAGAGTGGTAGAGGTGTTAGGCAATTAAAGGCTTATACGCCGCAACGAATGACCAATTATTGAGGCTTGCAATGGCCCGTAACAGCAAAACAAGAGCAAATAAACAAAAAAGTTGGGCATAAATTTCCAGAAGTGTCTGCGACGATAGCCGAAAGGAAAACTAAAACGAAGACATTCGCATAAATTAGTTTCTCCGAGCACATAAAATTTCGCATTGCATAAATAAACAAAGTGTTTATTGTTTAGTTGTGCGCAAAGTGAACAGCGCACAAAAAATGAAAAGTTACCCTGATCTGGTCACTGGCAATGGAGCAGTAGCCACAATTGGCCAAGTGCCTAAGTGCCTAAGTGGCCAAATGCCCAAGTGGCCTAGTGCCTGCCTCTGTGGAATAAGCAGCTCAGGGAGCGGCAGTTTTATATGTTGTGTTAATGCTTTGTTTATTTTAAAGTGCTTGAACATACAATGGATGGGCCAGGTGAGAGCTCTTTTTAATTGGTTTCTGGTTTTATCACTCATTTAATGAATGTTTTGGTAAATTTCGTACTTCCTTTCTTTATTCAAAGAATATGACTGTTGACTGTTGTTATGTTAGCCTGCAGACGAGTGATAATATACTAAACAATTTTTTTATATTGGCGCTAACTTTCCCCTAAAGAAAACAATTTTGAGTGCCCCAGTCTCGAATAGCTGTAACATAAATTTGTACTTTTTGATATACTTACATATGCACAAAGCAAATGCATGCGCACGTTGGGAAATTCATCCCTAAATATCTTCTTTATTTTGTTTGTTTCATATTTACAAGGCAAAAATGTGGCATTGAAATAAGCGCATTCGCCAAAAATCAAATGAGTATCATTATAAAACTTATCAAATCAATTATTGGCATTATCAATGTACTCCGGAGATTATAGGAGCAACGAATACCACCATACATAATAAAACAAATTTAACTTTCTGACAATTTCGCACAGTCAAATAAAAAAAGTTTATTAACTTATAAATTCATTTTTCATAGGGTGTCTTGTAGTCAAGCATTCCCGACTAGAGCTTTCCAGCTTTTAATTACATACAACAACGCAAGTTATTTAGTCGCATAGTACATTCAATTAATATTTATTATTGTTTAGCAGGGCTGAATTTTATGCGCATGGGCTGACTGATAAAAAAAAATCTCGGCTAACATGTCAGGCTGTCATATCACAGCAGGGGCAGCCATGAGAAAAACACCACACACCACCGAACATGACGGCACATCCTGTTGCGACATGTCGCGGTGCCATCTTCACCTGCGCCACGGTGCATGCGTGTGATGTGAATGTGTATATTTTTACAGCGTGATTCATATGTCAATCAACTGTCAATGTCACTCCAAAAAAAAAAAAATTAAGAGAAGAAAAAGTAAGACCTTCGACTGGTTGAAACTGACGTCCAAAATATAGGAGCAAGCGGTTCTGCTCTGCGCCGAAAAGCAGGGCAAGAATCATACGAGGACGGAGGGTTGGATGTTAGGCTGATCGACGGCTGATTTTTACGGCGGAGCATTTGTCTCACAGGTGTCCTCTCCTGGCACACATACAATTTTGTAAGTAAGTATAACATTCATATACATATTCATAACATTTTTGAGAATATGACAACATCAAATTGAATACTTTAGGCGGCAATTTGTCATCGGGTTTTGCTTATTAGTAAAATGAGTTGAAACACATGTTCAGGCACACCCTCTGGCTTGCTGCCTCAGTTTTCCCAACTTATTTCCCTCCACTGGAAAAGCCCAACGCTCGCGCAAAGGCAATGAATTCGTCATCAACGTCGCCATCATCAATAAGCATAAGCCATTCATCAACCAAGTCCAAGTCGCAAGGCTGTTGGGCGTTTATGTTATTTTAAATTGGGAAATGTTTATGAATGATATGTGTTGCAGCCTGTTCAATGTTTAGAACGTGCTTAACACGGCGAATGCGTAATTTAATGAGTTTAATATTTGATTAGCTTTAATCTTAAATATTTTATTGCTTTTTGATGATTATTTATGCAGTGTGTGTTTGCGCGCTAGCTTGGCGCATGCCTGATATTGCTCATACGCAATGTTGGCCAATTTGATTATATAAATAAATGCTATTTGTGCCATAGGCATAAAGACGTGTATGTGTGTGTATGTCAGATCATACATATTGTGTATTATTTATCGTGCCTTATGAATGATTGCACACAAACGGAGGTTTTATTGTAGCTTTTGTTGCTGTTGGCGTTGCTTTTCGCGTACTTACCGTATTTATGGCAGCCATCGTCGCACTTGACGCAGTTGATGTTCTTGTTGTTGTTGGTGGTGCTTGTTCTTGTTCTTATAGTTGTTATTGTTGTTGTTGTAGTGGTGGTGGTGGTGATGATGGGGATACAAAATCAAAAATCTGCAAAAAGGTTTGTATGATAGAACATATACGATTTCTGTTTTTTTTTTTTTTTTTTTTTTGTTTCACATTGTTCGCTGCGCGTTTTGCTTTGGCGACATCTAATTGAATTTAACAGAAAAGGAAAATCGAAACAAGAACCAAGAAACCCATATTTGATGCAGAAAAATGTGCGCATAAAACCAAGAAAACATAAGATGATTGCTGTAGAGCGGTTAAAAAAGAAATAAAGTAAATACATGCAAAAGGCCAAGGCGTACGAGAAGACGAAGGCTGATAAAACATATGAACAAAACATGGGAGTACAATCAAAATGTATGAAATATAGAGTACCTTAAAGGAATAGATGGAACTGGATAGTTGATTTTTGAGATACGGGATGGTGCATTTGGCCACTGAACTCACGATGACATACTGATTTAATGATAGGCTGACTGACTGACAGAGTGACTGATTGATTGGCTAGCATGTTAAGGCATCTGTGACTGAGCATTGGAGCATTAGCGTAAATATAGCAAACTACCCATTCCAACGTATAAAGCGTGACAGTGAAAATATCACCTTCTTTTTTTTGAAGCCTGTGAAAACGAAAGTTTTATATTTAATTTTCATTGTATGCATTCGCCGACCCACCAATTTCCCTTGCTTTGTTTTCTGCCATCGGCGTAGACGCCGCTGTCGACTTCAACGTCGTCGAGTCTGCTTTTAAATTTCGTTTTGTAATTTCTTAGTTTTCTTTGTCTCTCATTATTTATTTTTGTATACAACAGTCTTTGTCTGTCTGTCCGTCTGCATGTTTTTGCTTTAGTTATTTTATTGCACGTTCTACAGATTTATTTTTATATTAAATAAACTATTTCCCTTCAAACCGACCCATACCGACCCTATCGACACATGTATGCACATGTAGTTCGCAAAAGAGAAATTACGAGCTTACATACACACAAACTAACATAAGTATCAAATGATGATGAATTTTTGTATGTATTGTTAATAACATTAGGCATTATATTATATATTGTTAAAATACAAATTGAACCATGGAACATATTCGCAATAAGAACTCTGATAACTAAGCATAGCCTATACTTCGAAGCTATGTCTTGAAGTTTAAGTCAATTTCAAATATTTTACAATAACGCCTGAGCACTCAACCAGGCTTGGCGAAATATCACCTAAGCCAACTGTGCTGTAATAAAAATGCATGCTATTTTTGATTTAACACAATAAATAATCATAAAAAAAAGTTCAAATATAACCTAGGTAAATTTTATTCAACTCCAACATATTCTTATTTAGGGAAATTCTAAAATGTGTTCATTTGAAACTGGAAATTTTGTATTTAGATAAACAATAAACACAAAGCCTAAGGCCTGATCGTTCAATCGTTGACACTGATATATATAATATTAAAAGTGTTATCATGTAATAGAACTTACATAATTTTGATTAACTTGATCAACTGCCTAACCCTCTATGAAATCATGAAGAACTCTCTTTCGAATTTTAGCTAACCAAACTTAAGAATAGCGTAATTTATGATTATTTATATTTATTTATACGATTATGCGCCTATCTCCACGGTCGACAACCAGACATGCAGACCCTTTTTGAAATACACAAGCGCGGAAAATATAAGCAGAACGATGCGGCGCACTCATAATGCAATAGACCAACATACAGACACAGATACAGATACAATGTGCAAAATGCTTTTGCTTTTCGAATAGCATGAACATTTTAAGCAGCTACGATAGAAGCCGAAAATGTGACGGCCAAGCCAAAGTATCTGAATATCTCCTCGTGCGGACGCTGCTTTTTAATTAAAAGTATTTACAAGCATGCATCTGTACATACTATATACATAGCTTGTGAATACATATGTGAGCGCACAGCACATTGCACAGTGGTACACTGGCACAGTGTGTCACACTGGGTCGACGTCGTTGCCAGGACGGTAGTAAGGCGCAAACACGCGGAATGTTGTCGAGCGCGACGACAATTTGTTTCAGAAAATGCTTGGCAAGGAGCCCACTAAAACACACCAATAAAGTGTCTAAGGGGCGACACCGCAGCAGCATCAGCAGCAGCAAGAGCTGAAAATTATACTTATCACAAAGAAATGCAGCCGAAGTAAAGGCGACAGCGCTAACCAATAAATTCCATGATAACTCAGTCTTTTGCATATGGATATGTAGTGTATATATGCGCATGAATCTATATTCTTGTTTAATTGCTTGTTTGCATGATCTATGCAGAGTCTTGCAACTGTGGCCTGTGTCCGGTCATAAACAAGTTTTATGCCAGTACAAATGTTTGTGTTTTTCCTGTTATGCTTTTATATATGTGCATTTATTCAGGTGAACACTTGAGCGAGCCACACAACAACTGCTGCCTTATTCATTAGTAATATCACAAGCAATACGCATACGCACCATAGGCCACAACAACAGCTGGTAGCTAAACTATGGACAAAATTAGACGGCAAGCACAAATACACAGACAAGTGTACACACGTTTTCAATGTTAGACCACATGCTAAAAATATATTTTGCAACCGTGTAAATGCCAAAAAGAAAAAAATAATACTTATGGAGGAGGTCGGGTGGACGGAAGGCGGCAAGCATCTCTCATATCAAAATCCAATTAAAATCTTTCGCGTGCATTGAATATAAACAAATAAGCGCCAATCGAAAATGATAGACTTCTCTACATAGTATATCCATATCTCGCTGCCGCCGGCAAAGTTGTAGTTGTTTATTCGTTAATTTGTATATGCATCAGTGAGGCATAAGCTGGCCATTTTATTTTCTATATGGACAATTTCCGAACTTTATTAATCTTTGCATTAGAGGCAAGGACCAGTTATATGCGCGACGGGTACTTATTGCCACACGGTGGGGCTGATAGCTCAGCAGACCGCCTGTGATGTACGAATATATTCATATACTTATTTACAAATTTGTATCGAATGTTTTATCTAATGAAAGTGCCCTGCATACTTGGTGTGGGTGTGCTCTCTGCACATAATGCTTAAGTGGATTTCGAGAGCTGGCAGAAGCTTTATGCTACCAGAGAATTGGGTTAATAGTCTGTTAAAGCAGCAATAGAAGGCAGCTTTAAGATTTATTAAAGCAGCTACCCTAAAATTAGTACAATTTAAACTTTGTCTGAGCTCAAAGTAGACATTTTGAGAGCTAGCAAGTATTTAAGATACAATATTCCATCCGTTTTTAATACAAATTCCCTAACACACACGCTAAGCCTTTTGGATCTATTTAGTAGCATACCATTTGTGGAAGTTTTACATTCTTCCAGCAATTCATTGTAAAATAGCATAATGGTTTTGTGCAAATGTATGTAACAAGAAAAAGGAAGCATCTTCGACTTCATTACATATATATACTCTTACTCAGCAGAGTTAAAATTTTCTCAGGCAGCCTTCTTCTCTGTGGTAACATATTAAATATTTATACTTTCAATCGTTTTGTATTTTTTATGTGGTTATTGCATTTCTGTCACACAAAGTAGATTATTTACTTTATCGAGGCTTATTAGAATATTAAACATGCATAGATGTTAAACGCCTTTTTAATATTAATGAATTACTTCGCTCTCTTTAAGTTTAATTACTTACAAGGCAGTGAATAGTAGTTTCCGTATTTCCCTTGTAAAAGGTTGTAAGCTACATTTTGTACACAAAGCTTTAATTAGTCGAGAAACGTCTTTTTAACACTCTAGCTTAGGTGGGCGTGGTCGATGATCAATTTGCACATTTCTGCCAATGTCTACCTTTACAATTTAAAATATTAAGCTCTGAAACTGTGGGGGATATAGATTTGCACTGTTCTCTCATAGTATCAAGCCTCCAGCCCTAATAACGCAAAGAAAAGTTACGTTATTCCGGACATTGGCATTGAACAAGCCAACATACCCTTAACTGGTTGTAAACAGAGTATTGCATCGATTTGGGGATATATATGGGACAAATTCTAGTACCGGGTTACTCCGGTTAACAAAGGAATTGAAACACTATGTATTTTAAGTAATATCATATTCAACTTCCTTGGTACAAAAACATTATGACAAAAATTGGTAAGTAATTTTTAAAACCACAGTTGGCAGTCTCTCTTTACATGACTCTGGGTAAAATTGAAAATATTTCTTGTATTTCCAAAAATAAAATCAACACGTTTTGCGCTGAGCATAGCGTGAGGAATGAGGAATTTTAGCGCGCTGACAAGCAAAGTGCAAGCAATGAGCTATAGTCTCAATCGCTTCTTATATATATTTTATTTTTTTATTTTATTTATTTATTTATATGTAAGGATACGTTTCTGGCGCAGTAACTAAAAATCATTTTCTGTTTGACATTTCGTGCGTGACGAATGCAGCAAACCTGTTGGCAATAAAATCAAATCAAATTTAATACGCTCACCAAATAAACAACATTTGTCTCAACAATATAAACTGCACAAAAGCTGACTAATGCACCCAATAAATAATCTTGAAAGATGGTGAAGGTAAAAATTTTGCGTAATGCAAATAGAATCTGCTACTTGGACGTGGTTTGCATGACAAACGAATCAGCTTAGGGTTGACACGGACGCTATTAAAGCTGATGATCATAATGATGTTGATGGTGACTGAAAAACAGAACCGCAGGCATAAATAACAAGCCAGACGCCTGAAGCAGAGAAGGCAACCAAGGCGCACACACAGTGGAGCAAATAAAATGTTTTAATTAAATAAATATGCACACACTCAGTGTTCATAATCATCGAGCGCCTGCCATAGTAAAAGGCACCTATGGGACAGACAGGGCAGAGACGCACAAAACTGTAACGCCGGCCAGCCAAGCAAAAATCTTGGCCAACGCGATAGACACGCCTTGTAAGTCACAGACGACAACGACAACGACAACGACAACGACAAT